AAAAGGCTTATATGAAAAGAATGAAAGAACAGAAAACAAGGGTGAGCCGTTGGCAAGTGAAAGGCAAGCCCCAGCAGCTCCCCCGGCGCCCTGGGTGTAGAGGTCTGACTGAGGCTATTTTTGCAATCTAAGTACGACCCAGGGTGATAGGGTCCATTTTTTCAACTAATCAAATACTGCAATCAGTATTATGGAAAACTAAACAAGCCCCGAAATAACATTAGAAAAATAAACATACACAGCCTGGCCCCTCTCATTAGATTTTGGGCACAGCTGGGATCTGGTGAGGTCCGGGCTTTGCAGTCGCGGGAAGATGGCACCAGGGAGCCGCTCTGCTCTCGCAAAGGCCCAGTGCTCTCAGACAGGATGGCATTCACGGAGACCTGATATTGTCAGGCAGTTATAGAACTAACTTCAAAGCATCTTCTGCTGCTTCGCTTTCAGAAAAGATACCACTCTCCCAGCCGATGTGTTCCTAACACTTGTTTTTAGGGAGGGAAAGCTAACACTACAGGAGGTGAGGGAGTGAGTAAGGGAACTCACAGGAAGTCCTGGTCACCATGCGAAGCCACACACAGGTCACTGGACTCACCTGGGGAGCGCGAGTCACACTTTGTACAGAGGCCCAGATGCAGTGTCACCTAAGAAGGCCCAGTGGTCAACCCGCAATTTATCCACTAAAGAAAGAAACACCACTTCGGAGGAAGCAAGGACCACCCTGGGACTCACAGCACTTGGAGTAGGGTGAGGGCAAGGGCCAGAGCCAGCAGGATGCTGTCCCAAATCCTGGCAGCCATTGTCACGTGGCAATCAGAGGGCAGCAGCCATGCGGAGCACAAACGGCCCCAGGGGGAGAGCATCTTGAGATGGGTGAAGGCAGCACCCAATCCCATTAAACAAGGAAGCTTCACAGAAAGCTTCTGACACCAGACCCAGATGGCATCCAAGGTGCATTCATCCCACACCTGGGGATAAAGTAACACCAATCCAACACATACTCTTCCAGAAAGAAGAGGGAATGCTTCCAAACTGGTCATCACCAGAACGACCCTCATTCCAAAACAAGACAAAGACATTACAAAAATAAAAGTATGCACCTGGTTTAAAATCCTAAAAATTTATTCTGCCAAGAAGAAAGATCACGTGACTATGTCAACATACATGAAAATCCTTTGATGAAATTCCATACGCTGAGGAAGACCCCTCTGAAACCCAAAGTGGGCAGCGAGCCCTCAATGGTGGAATCCTGCAAGGTCTCCCAAACCAGAAACCAGGGAAGGACACCCACTGTCACCACATTTACTGAAGTCAAACTAGAGGGCTCTGGACAGCTCAATAGAAGAAATTAAAAGCATAAACATCCGAAAGGAAGAAGCATATTACCTTCATTCCCAGACGTCATACATTGTAACACAGAATCCTAAGCACTCTCAAAACAACCCTGGAAACGAATACATGAATCGGGTCAAGATCCCACAATCTAAGATCAACATACAAGTCAGTTGTTAAACACAAGCAACAACAAGTTAAAAGGTTAAACACTTTCAACCTGATTTAGAACACCATCAAGAACAGAGTATTTAGAGTTGGAGTTTGCCTGATGTGCAAAACCTCCAGGCTGAGGAACCAGCCAACGCTGCGGCCAAGGACAAGGACCCAAACGAACACAGGCGCCCGTCAGAGCCTCCAAGTGCAAACTTCCGCGTTACGATGTCAACCCTCCCTGAACTGATACCCAGACTCAGTGAACTCTCAATCGATATCCCAAAGAGAACGGTTGCAGAAATTGACACCTTAATTCTAAAAGCAACATGCAAACTTAAGAGACGCAGAAGCCACACAATTTAAAAATAAATACATTTAGAGGATTCCCGGACTCAACGTTACCTGACATCAAGACGTATCACAAAGTTACCCAGCCAAGCCAGCATGGAACGGCACAGAACAGGCAAAGGTCAGCTGAACAAGACAGAGCAACCAGAAGCAGACTCACGCATCCTTGGTCAACTGATTTCTGACAAAGGCACCAAGGTAATTCAATGAAGAAAGGAGACATTCTTCTTCCTCCAATAAATGATACTAAAACAACTAAACAGCTACAGGGGAAAAACAACTCTGTACCTCACAAAAAGGTAATTCAAAATGGATCGCATATCTAAACATGAAAAAAGACAAAGCTTTCAAAGGAAATCACAGGAGACTGTATTTCAGAAATTACGGTAGGCAAATATTTCTTAGAACATGAAAAGTGTTAAACATAAAGGGAAAAAAGACATAATGGACTTGTTCAAAATTAAAAACCTCTACTCACCGAAAGACACGATTAGAAAAACAGAAAAGCAGGCCTCCAACTTGCGAGAAAATAATCAGAATACATACATCTGACAAGAGACTCATATCCAGAACCACAAATCAATAACAGAAACACAAACAAGAAAGCTCCAATTGCAAAATGGGCAAAAAGTGGCTGGGCGTGGTGGCTCAATCCCAGCACTTTGGGAGGCAGAGGCAGGTGCATCATGAGGTCAGGAGTTCGAGACCAGCCTGACCAACATGGTGAAACCCCCTCTCCTACTAAAAATACAAAAATTAGCCAGGTGTGGTGGCACACTCCCAGCTACTCAGGAGGCTGAGGCAGGAGAATCACATGAACCTGGGAGGCAAAGGTTACAGTGAACCAAGATGGCACCACTGCACTCCATCCTGGGCTAAAGAGCAAAACTCGATCTCAGAAAATAAAAGAATTTTTAAAATGGGCAAAAGACTTGAGTAGATATTTCACAAAGAAAACACAGGAATGACCAAGACTTCATCAGGATAACTCATCAGCAAAGTGCAAATTAGAACCACAATGAGATAATACTTCATACCGGCCAGAATGGCTAAAATTTGAAAAACTGACACCACCAAGTGCTACCAAGAATGTGGAGTAACTGAAGCTCATACATTGCTAGGGGAAATTTAAGATGATACAGCTCTGGAGAAAGTTTTGGCAATTTCCTGTAAAGCTAAGCATACGTTTGCCATCCAACCCAGCAATTCCACACCCAGGAATTTACTCAGGAGAAATGGCAACAGGAATCCACAAAGAGGACTGACTTAAGGGGACACAAAGGAACTTTCTGGAATGTTCTATATCTTGGGTGGTGGCTATATGGTTGCACACCTTTGTCAAAAATCATTGAACCATATACTTGAAATCTAACATCTGCTATGTAATTTTTACCTAAAAAAAAGATAGAACGTTAAATTTAATTGAGTATTAATATAGCTTTTTATACTATTCCCAAACTTTCAAATGCTCCCCCCACCAAAATTAAGTACACACACACAAATACTGCTGGTTGCCCCCAAATCCCATTCCTTTCTTACTCACAGGACACCTAATTTTAGCCCATACATGACATATCCTTCTTTCTTTCTACCCTACCTGTGGCTTGGGCCCAGCAGCTGGCTTGAAGCACCAGGGCAGGGACCAGTGACTGGAGACCCCAAGAGGAAAGCTCAGAGGAGCCAAGTTCCCAGGGGCCATGAAGGCACCAGCGCGAGCGCCCATGGTCTGTCTACAGGTCTGTCTTCAGGAGAGCAGCCGGGCAGATCTTAATCAGGATTTAGCACTCTTTCATGGCTGTTTTCACACCTGACCTGATCCTATCTTGATTCAGAAAGTCCATAAAGTAGAAATTCAAAATGAAGCCTCTTCATCGTCTTTGCATGGTCCACAATGGGCATTTAACTAATATCTTATAATGCTTTTTTTTGTTTTCCTTTTTCTTCCCCAAATTCACTTTGCACCTTTTACTTTTTCCCCAAAAGAAAAAAAAAAACCCAACACATAATTTCTATGATTTATTGTGCAACTACATGCTAAAAAGGCAAAATGACATTTTCCCCTACAAATTATTTGGTGCCTGTGATTTTCTGAACACTACAGCCAGATGGTTCTCATAGAAATTGAAAAGCGTGAATTCACATAGTTCAAAGGTTTGCTTATTTTTTGGTCTGAAAGAGACTATATTGATTGTAACGTGCAGCTCTCCAGGAAAGATCCCGACAGCAGAGGCGGGTGCTGATATTTATGACTGCGCTTGTGCTCATTATGGCTGTCTCTGACAGGGGTCCATTAAAATCAATTTTTATGTTTCTTATGTATTTTCTTTATCTAATGTTCCTGGCATTGTGTTTATTAGCCAGTTAAGAGAAACACCAAGCATAGGAGTGAGTGTTTTTTTCTTCTTCTTCTGTCAGAAATAACAAGACCTACAATTTTAATAGAATGAATGGAGGAAATTTAATGCTACATTTCAAAGCAAACCATTAAGGAGTGCTTCACATTTTTTATGTTTTTACAATTAGAGAAATATAGTGGGAGCCATTCACAAAAAGAGAAACACGTACACTCTGAGAAATGACAGTACCCTAAAATCATGCTGAAAAGGGGCTACCAGGCCCTTCCCCTGGCAGGGCCGTCCTCAGCCACACTTGTGCCAAGGGTCTGACCAGGCTCTAAGAAGGCGAGTGGGGCTCCTGGTTAAGGGATTCCAGAATATCAAACAGTCCTAGAGTGAAAGTCACCTGGCAGACTCTGGCGGAACAGGGAGCGCTGGTCCGGATTTTATTTTTTAAATCCAGATTAATCCTGCACCGCCCTGTCTCTAAATTTCCAGAGACATATGTTGAAGAACCAAAATGTTCAATGCTCATCACCAACCAATTCCTCTGTAAACGCACACATTAGTCAAACACCTTGGTGCTACTAGGGAAAGGGTATGAAGGCTATGGCCCTGTGTTCACTGGAGGCAGAGGGTTCCCGGGCCACACCCAGTGAGGCTGCAAAGGCAGGAGCGATGGCAGCACACTGACTTGAGGGAGGGCTGGTGGCGTGGCTGGGGGTGTAAGACTGGCGTGACCCTGTGACCGATGAAAAACAAGCGGCTATCACACAGACTCCTCGGCTGCTTCTGCCCGTGCGCACACGGGATCGCGCGGCTCATACTTACTCAGCTGCGGGCGTCCCCTGTCCCAGGAAGCTGATTTTGTGCAGACCCTGCTCACAACCAGACAGCTCCAGCTTCCCCAAAGGGCTGTCCAGCGTGGTGCGTTTCATTTCACAGGTCTTGTCCATTTTTCCAAGAACCTAAACAGAAGCAATTGTTAAGACCAAGTGTATACAGAAGAGGCTGGTCGTATATAAAACACAACATAAGTACTGGTTATTTAAGACACAAAATATATTCCAAAGCATTTGCCTCATTTTTGGAATTGTATGATGCGTCATTTTTACAATACGGTTACTGGGATCCCAGACAGAAAATTACCACAATTACCTAGAGCAGCCAGCCAGTACTACAGTCTCCTTTTATTTCCTAAAATCACTCTCTCCTGATTCTTCGCATTCATCTTTAGCCAACGCATCCCTGAAGGAAGCTGAGCTGGTAAGAGCCCCTCTTAAATAATACCCACAACTAAGCTAACTTTCCTTCACTAAACAATTAATAAAACAACTACCACAGACAATGAAACCCGAAGACAAAGTGTTCGATATTTGGAATAAAGTACATTTTAGAATGAAGCATGTATACCACGACTTACAGAAACAGAGATTCGAATGAGCGCCTACAACACGGCACCTGTGTTAGGAGCCAGCCCAGAGAGGACGTGCGATGCTGGGGGATTTCACGAATGCTGTGGAAAGCACATTTAATTTACATTTAAAGAGATGCACAAGGCTGGGCACAGTGGCTCACGCCTGTATTACCAACACTTTGGAAGGCTGAGGCAGGAGGATCACTTGAATTCAGGAGTTGAAAGCAGCCTGGGCAACATAGAAAGATCCTGTCCAAAAGGAATGAAAAATTCGCTGGGTGTGATGTCACACACCTGCAGTTCCAGCTGCTCCGGGGGCTGAAGAAAGCAGCCTGGGGAATACAGGGGAACACATCTATAGGCTAGCTTTACACTTGTACAGTTCTCTCTCTCTCTCTTTTTTTTTTTAGAGATGGGGTCTCGCTCTGCCGCCCAGGCTGGAGAGCAGTGGTGCAATCCTAGCTCACTGCAGTCTTGAACTCCTGGGCTCCAGCAACCCTCCCTGTTGAGCCTCCTTAGGCAATGGGTCTTGCTATTTTAGCTGGGTCCTCCCATTGCACATCTTCCCAGGGAGACTCACAGCAGCTCTTGGCTACGCAGGAAGGCCGTCCTCATGGCTCCCATCACAGCTGGGCTCTTCCCACTCCAACCCGAGCATCAGCTTTCAAAGCTCACGGACAACAACAAAGCAATGACTCCCTACACCAAGGGGCTAGAGCAGGGGCAACAAACCAGAGCCTGCGGGGCAAATCTGATTCAAGGCACCTGTCTCTGTAAATAAAGTTTTATTGAGACACACTTGTGTTTTGTTGACACACAGTCTCCTGCTGCTTCCGTGCTGCAGCGGCAGAGGTGAGCAGTTGTGACAGAGGCAGTGTGGCCCTGCAAGCCCAGAACACTGATGCTCCAGGCCTCTGCAGAAAAGGCTGCTGACCTCTGTAAGGGCAGTCACCAGCTGAGCTCTGTAAGGGCAGCTCAAGGGCAGCTCACTGGCTTCAGTGTGGGGACTCAACTTCTCACTCTGTCCCTGCACCGGAGCAGGCCTGAATCCTGCATGCATCTCAGATCTCTGCGCCTTCACTGAATGCCCCTCCCAGCCTCTCTGCTGGACACTGCTGTCTGGTCTCCTGTCTTGTGAAAGCCTCCACCAGCACCCCAGCTGATCTGTCCTTTCTGTGACTTCCACATGCTTCTAAGGCCACCTGCTATACCCAAGCACAAGGTTCACAGCTGCGTAAAACAGGGCCTGCCCTAGAAACAGGAATTCCCAGCCTTTCTTCCCTGAAATCGCCCACTGGAACCTAAGGGACACCTGGGCAGAGCCCTCAGCGTCCCGTGGGAGGAAACCAGTGTCCCGTCTAACTCAAACATGCCGGCTTCGAATCTGTAGAATGGTATGATGATGTGGGAGACCCAAATGTCCAGGACTTCCAGAATTTGAACCGTCGGTCCTAAGGGGCTCCAAGAGCAGTAACAGGGCAGGTGCACATGATGGGACAGCCATGTCGCTGACGGTCCACAATCGAAGGTGCGGCCAGACAAGCAGGCATCCAGTGGACTCAGCACTGTCCACCTCTGGCTGGCATGGGAGGACACCACAGCCTGCATTTAGGACACCCACGCCATTCGACAGTCAGGCTTCCAAATGTCCCCCCTTCCCACTCCCACAAAGCACAACCCTCGGCCCCACAGCCTGGCAGCGCTCCCTGAACCGTCACGGCAGCCACCTAAACCACGTGAGTGGCTGACGTTAATTGGTGGCAGAAAAAAACTGATTTCTCATGGCTATTTGGAGACCTCTGGAAAAATGAAGTGAATTTCGTTTCATCTCCCTTTTAACATGAATAGCATTTAAATAACAATGTTCTGAATTAAGCAGTCGGCGCTAGAGGCCAGTTCCCACCATATTAAAAGGAAGAGACCCAGTGACAGAAACTGTCTTCTTTCTCCCCTACTGGTAGTCACTTTCCAGCCCTGCTGCACGTGTCTAAAAAGTGTCCGTCCAGAACCATCTTTGCAGCTCTGTCTTTCCCTCTTAACCATTTCCCCTGCCGGTATCCTGTGCAATGAAAATGCATAGAAACAGCCTAACCAGGTGGCGTGGCGTGCACCTACCCAGGGCCGGAGTTGGAGAATCGCCAAGTCCTAGAGTTCCAGACCAGCCTGGACGACAGCGAGACCACATCTCAGAAACACAACAACAAACAGGATAAAAGGGAGAATTCACCTGCCTCTGTGTAAGCAGCTTACAAATGAGGTAGACCACATTCCCTGTGGCCTGGGCTTCGGGTCTGTATGAAGGGGAGATTGGCTGGTAGAAGACGACCAACCTGTGGGAGGAAGAGGAGAGTGTCTGACTGCCTCACAAGCCACAAAGACATCACAAGATGAAAATCTGAACAAGGAATAAAGAAAAGCACTGAGGAAGTCCCTCTCATCCTCAGACTCACGATCAGACCACCTCAAAATCAGGCACAAGAGAGTATTTTAATTTTTTTTAAAAGCATGTGTCAAAACACTAGAAGACTGAAAATCCTTCATCCCAATCACCTAATAATGAACCAGGCCATGGGAGGGTGGCAGAAGGAGGTGGTGTGACTGACGCTCACCGAGGATAAAGGGCCCAGGGCTAAGACACTCCATCCGTGGCCCCCGCTGCAAGCAGGGTCTCCCAGTGAATTCAGCTGGGTCACATCCAACATAAGACAGTCAAGTGCAGCTCAGTTCATTCTGCTCTCACAACCAAAAAGAGTTCCACTATGTCGACATGGGTTCACCAAACAAAACTGGAACTGCCACCTGGGACGTCAAACTGAGAGGGGCTCTGAACAGCGTCCCCAAACACCCCCCCACACACACCCGCCAAAGCCTCCAACCAGGGCTCCACCCCACACAGGAGCCCTGGAAAAAGGGAAACGACCTTGTTTGTGGCTCAACTTTTGTGAACCCAGCTACACGCGTGCAGACACCAAGGGGAGATTCTGCATTAGAATGACATAGCCAGGCTTGCAAATGAAAAGAAGGTTTCTACCTGAAGCCACTTTCCACAAACACTGCTCATGTCTTGGCTTACACACGGACTTCCAGGATCTGGGTCCCGGACAGGAGCCGTGCCGGATTTTATGACTGCCATCGGGCCCGGCAGAGCACCTTTCTGATTAATGATGCTTTGGCTGGAAAGAATACTCTAACAACGAGAGCCCTGGGGAGTCAGGGACGGACGAAGAATGAGCCCTGGCAGCAAGGTTCCAGAAGCACCCCAGGCACGCGTCGTGTTAAAGGGCTCAGCACAGTCATCCAAACAACACACGACGTGCAGCCCATGATCAAACCGGGCATCTAAGGACGTCTGTTCACTGCTCCTTCAATCACCCACTTCCAGATATAAACCGGCACTTGTCTACATTTAGAAATCATGCTTAACACAGAATCTGGTCTCTTTTCTAAACTCTTCCTGTTGGTACTATGTGGAACGAAGTACGACACAGGAAGGAAAACGCTGCTCTGCTCTGAAGCTCCAGCACTGCTTTGAACCTGTGCAGTCAGGCAGGAAATCCGTCAGCAAGAGGTTAAAATACACACTGCTGTGTGTAGGTGACAGAAACATCACACCTAGAGAAAAGGGCAGAAAACGTACATGTGTAGATTTAACAGATTGCTCCAAAAAGCCCCTGAAACTTCAAGCACTTTGGAGAAATGTTTCCAGATTGTAACCGCCACTCCCATATCCATCCCGACAGTTTAGCGAAACCAACTGTAGCTCTAACTGAAATTGGTTTGTGATGCCCGAACACTGTAAAGACCAGCCTACAAAAGTCTCCTCGGAAGCTTCTTAGTAACTATTACCTACTTCTTTAAAAGGTTTCATAAAAGGCTTTCCTACTTGCCATGTCACTGCAGACCAAAGAAGAATCTACACGAAGAGGTTCTTTCCACCACATGAACCTCCCAGTGTCGGGGCGTGTGAACCTGAGTACATGCAGGTGTACACGAACGGTGCATGGCAGAGCACGGAGACACGGCGACAGGCGAAACACTGTGCGTCCTCTAGCTAACTGTGTGGAGGAAAACGCTTTCATGCCAAAATACAGATAAAATGAAAAATTACAAGTTTTTGTCTTTGGAGACAGGTCTCACTCTGTCACTCAGGCACAGTGGCGTGATCTTGGCTCACTACAACCTCTGCCTCCTGGGTTCAAACAATTCCCCTGCAACCACAGGCGTATACCACCACACCCATCTAATTTTTTAACCGCGTTGTCCAGGCTGGTCTGGAACTCCTGGGCTCAAGTGATCTACCCATCTCAGCTTCCCAAAGTGCTGGGATTACAGGCATGAGCCACCGTGCCTGGCTGAAAATTACAAAATTTTTAAGGTAAAACAGGAGACTTGCTGTGAGCAGTTTCAAACTGGATTTCTGGGAGCTGCGACTCATCTCTCCCTGCTCGGAGTTATTGTTAAAGAAAGACAAGAAAATGCTGTTCTGAGGCACTGTCTTAGCTTCGCTCAGTTTTTGGCAATTCCCTGAAGTAGGAAGTTCGAGTACCTAGC